GGATACTGGGGTGATCTCCTAACATCTGCTCATGGCACAGGTCACAAACTTAGTTAACACCCCACTTTGAGACATCAACTCTTTATAAAGAGATTTGCATTATACATCTATATAAATATTACATATTATGTATATAATAAAATACTTATAAAGATGTTTGCATAAAAATCAAAATACTTCAAATTCCAAACAGGACACAGTGAATGGATAACCATGTACGTAGCAAGTAAGTAGGTAACCAGTATTTTTCTTGCTAGTCAGGACAATATAGTCCATCCCATAGTGCCAACTTATTTTTATCATATAAAAAAAATGTTTTGGGTGTAAATAATAGTAAATATTTTACAAATCATGCAATTACATCTAGGTATGGAGGAAAAAATCAACTGGAACCGTAGGTCATTAATCTTTTTCTCAAATAGAAATGTAATCCTAATAGAAGTTCCTCCCTTTTTCTCTGCCAACTTTACTACCACACAATATGCCATAGAGAAAAAAGGGGAAGTGTCAACTTTTGTAAATTGTCCCTTATGTAATGCAAACCATCTGTTTAAAAAACAAAACAAAATGAAAAACCAAGACACTCCCAAGCATGATGTGCTACTGAGAAAAAGAAAGATAAGGAAATTTACTACCTCAACTTGGAAGCCAAAGACCATGACCTGCCACCTAACCATGGAGAAAATATTTGCCCCTCTCCTCCCTGTATTTACCCTATTTTGCAAAATATTTTAAGAAGTATAAGAGGATAATTTGCTGTGCACATAGTAGAGACGGATGTTGTACTCTCTGGAGCATTTCAGTCTTCTAGAATGTTTCCAATCAGGTAGGAACCCAAGCAGAGAAAACTCTTCATTTTCAGTTGTCCTGGTTTCAGCCAGGATAGAGTTGGATTTCTTCACAGAAGCCAGTGTGAGGCTATGGTTTGGATCTGGGATGAGTAAATGTTGATAACGTGCTGATGTTTTAGGTTGCTTCTAAGTAGTCAAGGACAGTCCAGCTTCTCGTGCTGGCCTGCTAACAAGGAGGCTGGGGGTGCACAGGGAGCTGGGAGGGGACACAGCCAGGACAGCTGACCCAGGTTGGCCAAAGAGATATTCCATACTTTTTAACATCATGCCCAGTACGTAAACTGGAGTTAGCTGGGGGGTGGGAATCGCTGCTGGGGGATGGGCTATTGATCGCCAGGTGGTGAGCAATTGCTGCATTGGGCATCACTAGTTCTTGTACATTCCTTTGTTGGTAGTATTATTGCTGTTATCACTGTTGTTTCCTTCTCTCTTTCTGTCCTATTAAACTGTTTTTATCTCAACCCACGAGCTTTTTCCCAATTTTCTCCCCTGTCCCACTGGGGGAGCTGGGAGTGAGCGAGCGGCTGTGTGGTGCTTCGTTGCTGGCTGGGGCTAAACCACGACATCAGTAACAGACGGAATAGCTCTCACACAGTGATGCCACCGCTGAGTCACAAGGTCCCTGAGTGCCCAACCACTGGAATCTGACAAAGCATATGGGGACAAAGTATCAACACACTCTTGCCCTGTTCTTCTACTCTTCTCCAGGTATCTGCTATGAATCTAAATGGACCCCTGCTATGAACTGCTATGACTATTTTTGTGTTATCTTCAGTCAAATCCTCAGAAAAGGAAGTATGTGTAGGGAGATCAGTACTCTTCCTTTCCACAGCCTCTGTCTGGGTAAGTCATTAGTCCACTGGGAAGCACTGGCTAAGGAATCCTACCGCACACACTCTTTGAAACCACTGGGAGACATACATTTGACCCTCCGTTGCTCTAACATGGACAGGTGAATCAGAGAGCATTGAATAAGTTAGTTTGGTTTCATTATTTAAGCCGAATGAAAGAAAAATAGCAGTATACCTAGGTATTCATTATTTTTTCTCTTTCACTGACCTCGAGGCTTGATCACACATTCTCTTACAGCTGCAGCTGAGCTGGCTGAAGAGGCTACCACCTCCAATCACAGCCCCTCGCCAAAGGTTACCACTGTGACCAAGCAGCTTGTTTAATCTCTTCCCAACATGTTTCCATTAAAATGAGCCAGCTTGGTTCACGCAATTTTAACAGAAAGTCCTTGCTGTCCCAATCTGGACAGAAGCAAGTTAGGGAGTGCTTAACCAAGTAGGTTGGCCAGTATGTCAGAAGTTAGAGGCACGGGGATGGGCAATTGGAGGCAGTTACCTCTTTGGCTGCTTGGCCTGCAGACAGAAGGTGGCAAGTAACCCAGCCATCAGGTGTGACCAACAGCAAAACTGGCTAGAAATCTGCAGTGGCTTAGACGACACACTGCTGATTTTCAGATACTCTTTTGGAGATCTGACCTTTCAAAGGGGCAGGGCACGTTAAGAGTACAAATGTCACTCTGAAGGTGTACCCAACTGGGTATCCATAATCAAGGTACTCAGCATCATTAGTTATGAAAGTAGTGGTTGCCATAACAATTCCCTCTTCCTTCTCCTCCAAATTTTCAAATCTCCCTTTTATTCAGAAACAGTGTATGGAAATTTTCATAGTTATTTGTTATTTGTGACTGGAACTGAATTGTCCCATGGAGATTTTTATCGTTCCTATGTGCAGGCTGTTAATGCTAGCAAATAACAGAATCGTCACTGGAGAATTCCTGTCAATCAAGCCATATAAAATAATTCTGAAAATCTATTGGTCCAGACAAAGGGCAGGTTTTCTAAATGGACCAGGAAGATGTAGAACTGAGGTTCCATTTTCATAAGGTACACCAAGCCAAATTTAAAACATACAATGGCAGTCAGGTAAAGATGCTGGTAGTGGGATCTTTAGAAGTTCATAGGAAAGCCTCGCATCCAAAAGTAAACTCGGTGAAAGTTAGGCATTTAATGTGCTGAGAAGCTGAGCAAGTCTGCTGTACATTCTCTGTTGCAGTGCTTTACTGGTACCCACTTCAGCTCAGTTCAAGCTAGCATAGGTGACCGTACTAAAGGTTACAGTACAAACATTTGCTAAACATCCCTGACACTTAGATCCTTCTGTCTTTGTCACTCTTCAAATGAAGATCTAGTCTCCTAAATCACTCAGGTGCTTTAGAAAATTTTAACCAAAGCTCTTTTCTTTAGTTTACCACATCTACCACATCTTTGCCAAGAGGACTGATATACAGAAGGGCAAGCAGAAAAGTCGGAGAAATATGTTTTAATGGTCTGTCAAAAACATTACTTGATGTGAACATGTTACAGTTTTAAGGCAGCTACTTTTTTAATTGCAATAAGCTTTCTAGGTGTAGCTAAATTCGTATATGCTTTTTTGTTTATGCTAAACTGTGAGTGAAAAGAAAAAATCCTTTGGACTACTTATCACTTTTCCTCAGCTTCTCAGTCAAATTCAGTCAAACATGCCAGGGAATCAACAAACACAGAGCTGTCTTTTTCCACTGGCTTCTGCTCAGTCCTAGACCTTGGCATGCTGCTAATTCCAAGCCTGACTGCCAGGAGCAGCAGCAACTTTGCTCTTTTTTCTTTTTCATTTTCAAGGTTACACAAACATGCAATGTCATATGTTCTTCATGGATGTGAGGAACTATAGGACTGTCTTACAGTTAATGTACGTGCAGTAAAAAGAAGGAAAAAAAACCAACCTCAACTCTTTCTATCCAAACCAGACTTCATTAACATGGAACTAATTTAATCTGCCAGATATATCTAACAGGGTGCTTTCCTGACCTTTTCCAAGCCTACAGTTACAGTAGCATTCATATTCAATGTGTCTTTCAGTTAAACATTCTGTAATGTGAATCACTACTTCTCCCATTTGAGAGAGACTGAGTGTGAAATCAGTGGAAGAAGTGAATGAGCCTATGCTTTGGCACTGCAGTTGCTGGGGGACGTGAAGCGTTTTGAACAGTAATTTTCAGTAGTGGTCCCAGTCTGTAAAATATTAGGAAAAGGGATTAGTGGCCAAAACAACTCAAGTTCGTATTCAAGTACTGTATCTACAACACTACAGGAAAGGAAAGGAAAGGAACCTTACATTGTGGGCTAAGCCAGTTTAACCAAAGGAATCTTTTTATGTTTTAATTTTCTGAAACTGCTGCAGTGTCAAGTGCTGAGTAACTCAAAACAACTCATGAATTCATGAGTTAGTCAATGATACAGATGGATACACTGACATGGACATAATAAACACCCATGCTAGAGACAGAGAACGGTAGAACAAGCAAGTCCTAGATAACTTAGTAGGAAACGGATGTCAGAACAGTTATACAAGTACAAATGCATAAAAACAAGTCTATGAAATTCACTCTCTAGCTAAGTCTGTTCATGGAAATGGAGTTCCTCAATTATTCTTTAACTTGTATTTATTATCATCCTGTTGACAGGAACACGAAATCCTATTAAAGGCTTAAATAAAATTTCCAAAAAAATCTGGGGAGTGTAGAGAACAATACAAAACTTTCAAAGATTAAAAAAGTATATGCTATATTTTTTAGTGTCAGGCTCTCATAAATATACTCATAGTTTGTGTTAGCCCATCAAACTGAAAGGCATATGCTATCTTTGATCTCTTTGCAGAACCCCCACTGAGATTAATGTGAGTTCTGTGTGAAGGAAGAGACTAGAATAAGCCCTCAGTTCACAAATAGTAAGCAGGCTGCTTCAGGGAAAAGGCATGTTTTCTTACGACAGTGCTGTTTTATTGGGAAGTTTTGAATAGCTTCTCTTCAGACGTATGTACGTATGTGTGGTCATGAGCATGTTCACTTGTCAAAAAGGTCTGCCAGAAGGAAGGTGCATAAATCCAGTTGTTGTATGAAACGTTTTGCTGTTACGTTGAAACACTTACTTCATTTCTGACAATCTTTTCTCATCCAATACCGACTAATTCTCTATTTTACACTCATCTGTGCAAATTAATGGCTTTGTCCATTGGGCAAGAGAGGTGATACTTTTATACAGATTGGCATGAAATTGTGCCCTATACCCACTTCCAGCTAAAAAAATCTACAGGACTTACTGCATCCCGCTTTGTAGCTGAAACCAGGAGGAAGAAGGAATCCTTGCTGTGCAGCTGCTGCTAGGGTTCGTTGGTCTGGAGGGAATACGGGAATCATTAATGGAGGCAGCTGACCAGGAAAATCAAACGTGGAATTTTTTCTGGGGAAAACGTCTGCTTACATGCTTTCTCTTGCTTCTGATCTGAGAGGTCACGTTTGAATATGCTTCTCCATAACGGGATGTTCTAGTAGCATCAACTATTCAGTCCCATCTTAATTACCAAAGCGCTTCATATGAATTACATTAATCCAAAATAAATAAAAAAAAATTCCACTAACGCATACCTATATCCCAATTAATTATTCTCCCCCCAGTCCATAACGCCTCATTTCTCTTTGACTGCAAGGTGGGTTTTTCTTCTCTTTTACTGCACTATGTAACAACATCTCTGTTTCAGACAGTAGCTTTCACCCTGACTGAGCCCAAACACAAAGATACACACACACAAGTGCAAATATGTGCATAAGTAGCATACAGCACAGTCAGTACTATTGCTATGCCCACATACATGCACTTATTTGTATATGTGAAAAGATAAAGTCTCTGAGACAGTAAGAAAGTAGGCTGAGACACTTTATTCACAAATAAAACACAGCTATGTCTGAAGCATTAGCGGTTCAACTTTGCACAGCAACCGTACACAACCATGCAAGTCAGGAAATGGAAAATATTATATTGTAAGTGGATACTGCAAGGGACTTAAGACATGCAGAAATTAGTCATCAAAACTGGAAGTTGGCCATAGCACAACGTCTAATACTATTGCTTTTACCCAGTTCTGTCAGAGTTTTTAATTGCTAGAAATGGACATCATCTTCGTACTTCACACAGATGAGAAACAAGAAGTTGGCCAGATTAAAATGTTAAATGGCCGATTTTAATTAAAAAAACACACTGTACTGACCAGATCAGTCAATAAAGGGGGACTGACTCATTTTTTAAGAGAGGTCACCTAGATTTTTAATGGCACTGTAAAGCTGAGGCATCAGAGGTAGATATGTTACCAAAGACTAAAATCTAATTTGTGGTCTGTAGCCTTAAGAAACAAGGAGAATTAGGGTGTTGATAGACAACCTTTTTTGGCCAGAGACGTAAGAAAGTGTTACTCCCTTCATTATTGCCTGCATAGCAGAACCGGCAAAAGAGAACCTATGCCAGATCCTTGACTGCCACAGTTTGGACTACAGCATCGTGACTTAATTTTATTTTAATTCAATCTCCTGAAGATCCAGGAGATGTCTCGGTTCGCCCAACACTGTTACAAGGCAGAAGAGGGATACGAAATTTGGGATGGTAACCTCTTAATTTATGCCAGGACCTGTCAACACCTGTGTGTGTGCTGACTGCAGCTTTATAGTCTGAAACAATTTGCAAGGATGGAGTTCAAGAGCGCTGTTGATGGAAATTCTTGCAGTGGGAGATTAAGACTGGGACTGAAGCTAGAGTAGATGTAGCTCCACTCACTGGACTAACTTCATCCATTTTTTGTTACTTCAGCATTCTCCTTTCTATTCTGATCCTGTCAGCTAGAAGACATACGTAGTTTTAACTGGATTGCTGGAGAAAAAGAAGATATAAAATGTGATTTTTTCTCTATCCCCACTCAGTCACCCTAGAACTGCCCAATGTCTGCCTTTTCTTCATGTGTTTATTTTTTGTTTGGGGTTTTGGTTTTTTTAAGACAAAGACAAAGTAACGGTATTCTTTTAGAACAAAAATGAACAGCCGTGTGGAATTTTTGCATAGTACTCTTCTTCGGCAAAAAGCCACAGAACTTTTTTTTAAATGGTTTCCAAGGATGAAAGTGACTTTGCCAAGCAAAGAAGCTTCAAAACAGGACTCAAAAACACTAATAGAAAGACAGATGGTTCTACTAAGAGCTTTGCTGCCAAAAAAAATGTTAAAAAAAAAGTGAAAAAAATGGAGTGATGTTATTGAAGCTGACTGCAAAGTTCTCTGATGACTGCAAATACTCTTGTCCCACTGCAAGTGTTAACTCTGCCTCCAGGGCTAATATAACTAAAGCACCACACACACACAAATTGTCATTGCCAAGCCCACAATGTAGCACAAGTCTGCACTTGATTCCAAGTGACTGCCAAATACACGAGCAAAACACCACACTGAAAAATTCCCATTTAGGAAAACATTTACCAGGAAAATGCCCTTTCTTCTTAACTCTGACTGCTGCATTTCATTTTTTCAAATCGCTGCTCCTCTTTATCTCTCCGAGGGGCCTTATACCCACTAATTTCAAATGACACAACCCCAGTTGCGTGAAGGAGGTAAGAACTATAGAGTGATGAGGATGGTTTGCATGGATACAGAAATAACGCAGTCAAAACAATGTGATTTTCATTCCAGGCTGGAATGTATATAGCACCACTCAAACAGCTACACTTCATTTTCTCCCAAATACAAATAAGTGCAAACATTAGTTTATTTTAATCTGATTACCTGACACAATACGATACAAATTACAGACTCTTCATTTTTATGGCTCATTTAACTACTACGTTTTAACTTTTGTCATGTTTATTATTATTACCTAGAATTGCTAGGATACAACTGTTTCAAGTGGCACAGAATACAGGCCCTCCTTCTGAGTTTTACATGAAGGGTATTTTCCTCTTTTTTTTCTTTTTTTTTTTTTTTAAGCTACTACTACATCAGGTACCTCTCTCACAAATGTTTTTTGTTATATAGTTTATATACTTCCCAATGTTTTTTTGACAGTAACTTCTTGATACTGGATTTCTAATTTGAACACAATGGACTGCATTTTTCAGGCCCTTCAATTTGTTCTGTTAATGGACTTAATGTCCATAAAAAGAAATACATCTTTAACAATCTAAAAATGCATATAAGCTGTTAAGATTCTCCACTTGCAAGCCTCTCTATGTGATTACCTCTTCTTAGTTGTAATTTCCTAAAGGTGAAGAGTGTAGCTTAACTCCTTACAAAATTCCCACTGGATTTAATGGGCTATAACTTCACCTCATGACTTCTTATCTACTTTATGATGTTAGTTTGGACGATACAATCTTCCAAGGGCCTGTTTTTTCACTACACATACTATTGCCACGATGTCAACTCATCACACAGTTCCCTGATTTTTCTTTTAATTTTAATGCCGTCACCACGTATCAGATTAACCACAAGTACTCTTGTACTGCACGACAAACTGCGGAGGCATGTATGCATACAGCATACATAAATGTCATGAGAGCCATAATATTCTATACAATCAATTCAGTAGTCAAGGAATTCATACTTTCCTTCACGTATCTCTGCCAAGTAATTTGGGGCAAGAGGGAAGCCCATGCTGCAATGAAAGACATAAACCATACCACCTGACTTTTCGTTTACGAGAAGTAACTCCCCTTAAGGAAGCAGATATACAAGAGTTCAAACAGTCCAAGAAAGTAAAGGCTTTCTAATTCATAACGAGGACAGTTAAGTCACCTTCTGTAGTGGCAAAGTATTTAGGAGTGGAAGAAATTGCAAGCAAGTTTAACCTAGAGCCCAAATTGAAATCGGGGACCCTTCATACTTGCCACTGAAAATCCAAAAGGGAGACTATCCCTAAAGAACTTACCAATGAAAAAACTATTAGGAGCACACGACAAGCAACTAATAGTGTATCTATTGTCCAAGTGGGAAACTGAGGCATCCAGGGTTCCCTATAGAGATTTTCAATTTTGGGAAGTGCCTCACTGTGTCTTCAATTGTTTCATTTGCCTTTGAAAAATCTGCCCTTAAATGACTTATCCTTATCGAAAGAAATCTGTTAGTAAACTTGGAACTGATTCAAGTTGATGAAGCCTGGGCCAGCATCTTCACAAATCTGTGCATGTCCTTTATGACTTGACCATAACAAATCCACTTGCACAAAGACGTGCATTCAGTGTAGCCACAGCTAGGTTCCCATCATTCCCAGCTTCATTGTAACTGTAGTATTTCTGCCTAAATTCTGGTCTCCTACCTACTTTTAGGAACCTACTATGGTTACCACAGCTACCTAAGCACTAAGCAGTATGTTTTTAACAGTTCCCCCTACTGCTTGTTACTAGCTCCTGCTGTGACTTACATAAATTTAGATTACAAACACTCGACAACCACAGTTCTACTCTATTTTCTGTAAAATGTCACGTGTGCTTTGAGTCACTATACAAATAGCTTCAAAGACAAAACAGTTTAAGGAAACATTAAGGTTGCAAAGGTAGGCATTCAAGGCTTAGGAAATGCCAGAATCAGGATAGCTTGCATGACCTTATTTTGGTCCTTTATATCCATGCATCCTGACAGAGTCTTTAATGAAATGTTCACAATTTCCCCCCTCACATGACTCTTGCTCAATCTAGCAGGCTTATAATATTTCTCAAGTAATATAAACCCATACTTTCAACAAATCTAAGCCCCTAACATAGCAGCTGCTGTTAGTCTTATTAATTTTATCTTTATACACTTCCACCAATTTCATTTCTGCAGTTGCTCGTTATATGTTTATTAGTATAAACTTTTAGATCAGTTTTCCTCTCTCCAAGGTAAATATCTCAATACATTTCCCAGCATCCATACATAACACCTTCCACTAAGGAGTGAATACTGCTCTTCCACCCACATCTAGTTCTTCAGAAGTAATTCTATCCATTTTGGTGAGACTGGTGATGGAGTAACGAATTACTCAGTGTGAATAAGAACGGCTGCTAAAAGCAACACTGCCTTCTCTACAACCTGACAAAACTCTTACTCTTGAGATGTTTAGAAGATGCCCTTCAAGAGCTGTATAAGCATCTTTGCTGAAATGATCTCTTACATGGCTTCTTCATGCAGAAGTGTGGGTAATTTTTTTTTTCATTTGAGTTATTCTCAGCTCCTCAAAGAAGTTCAGATTTTACATTCCTAGAACAGTGGATGCACATGAATGATTCTATTAACTTCAAACTGTTGTATGAATATCTTCTTGCCTGCGACTTGTTTATAAGTTAAGCATCTCTTCTACTGTATATGAAAGAATGCAATGTACATTTAACATGCAATAACATAAATCTGTCCTTCAAAAATG